TGAAATTTATTTAAAATTTTCTTTTTTCTCTCTCCACTGTTTTCGCTGCAAAAATGTTGGCGAAAGTAATGTCTGAATTCCAATGAGTACTGAAAATTTACATTATAATAGAAATCTCGTCGCATGTATACAACCACTGGTTTATATAATACACATACAATATAAAGAAAAAGTGATTTTGTTTTAATTCCAAATGACAACAAAATTTTGTTTTACTTTTACACTTGTCATGTATGTTTGGGACTACACTTTCACTGTATATTTGTTTCAAATTTGGTAGCTTCTAAGAGTTTTAATCAAAACACTGAACTCATGTTTAAATTTCAAATTAACAACAAGTTACATAAAAGTAAAGTGCAGTAAAAGTTATATTTGATAACAATTTAATGATTAAATGTTTTTTGAAAAGGATATCATTATTTGGAAACATAAAATACAAATAGGGAGAGAGAAAACTATTTTCCTAATCATGAAAGCAATTAACAGTAGGTTTTAGGAAATAAGTTGAATATTCTTGAGCTTACCTTCAGATTTAATGTGCATTTGATAAATGGCTTATAAATTAGCGAATATTATAATATATATATTTTGAAACTTCAAGGAAATTACTGTAGTTATTAACAACTGATAGCTTATTGTCTTGAGATGTAAGCGATGTTTACATTAAAACTTTCAACAAAAAAAGATTATACAATATTAAGAAAAATCTCATTCGGATGTATCGGATGTATGAAGAGTTTTCTCCAGAAACTCGATATCGAGATTAGTGGGTATCTACTGATGCTCTCGCGACTCCGGGATCAGGTGTGTGACACACAAACAACTTTGTTATCAGGAAATTGTAGCGATGTTTGAGAAAAAGAGTCAAAAGAGAGTCGGAGTCCTTAATATGGTTGAGACGGCTGTTAGATTCGCCCGAAAAGTGCACTCTCTCTCCCTTCTCCTCCCTTTCAATATGATTGGACACACCGTCTAATAGAGTGTGTGCTATACTCGCTGTTCAAAGCATTTGGTAAATGAAAGGCTAACGAAACTATCGTTAAATTTCAATAACTCGCCTAAAGTGGAGTTTAATTTCTACTATAAATGTATTACAATCTCTCTCTCTCTCTCTCTCTCTCTCTCTCTCTCTCAGTCTCTCTTTTTGTGTCTCTCTTTCTCACTCTCGCTTTGCAACAACTGATGTCTCACTACTACTACTACTCTTACAGCACGTATCACTTGAAAATATATTCTCTCACTTCAGACACCATATCATTGCATAAACTGGTAAAACATTTGCTGTTAAGAGTCGAGAAGTACTGCACGATATGTACATTCGTAGCCGAGAGTGGAGTGTCGAGTAAATTTAGACTCAAAAACAAGTGTAAAATAGGACTTTAAATGACAATAAAAGTTATTCACAACTCTTCACTCTTCATTCCTAACTCTATTAAACTCTACTTTATATTCAAAGACTCGGATTCATGCACTCATTCAGGAAATTATATGCCATGAATAGTTATTAAGTTTAATAGACTAATAGTGTAATACATTTATAGTAGAAATTAAACTCCACTTTAGGCGAGTTATTGAAATTTAACGATCGTTTCATTTACCAAATGCTTTGAACAGCGAGTTTGAAGTTTAAGATTAACTTCATGTCTAGTATAGTGTACACTTAATTTCAGATAACAGGCAGTGATTTTTGTGATAGGTATTCAAATATTGGCACACAAAAACAACAGTAAGTGATTGGTTTGAAATAAATTCTTGTATTCCTGTATCACTTTTGCATTTATTATATATTATGCGAAAAATGTGTGCTTTTATACTGATTGCAACATTAGAGCCGATAGTCACAGAAATGGCATTTTCAATGATGTATTGATATTTCACTTTTTTCCATATCTCTGTATGATTTGGGTGTTTGTCTAATGTTTGCCCATCACTGCGACCCTAATGTTGTGTTTGTGTTATGAATGAGTGCCACGAATATAAGCATTCAATGCAATCGACACATTATTGGCGAACGGCTTTCCTTCCGTCGGGAATAACATTAAACTCGTATTTGTTTCAAAAAATGAGACCAAAATATATATCGCAGAGAAGAGTATTGATATAAAAACGATAAGAAGAAAAACTGATGCAACGATTCTCTCCTATTATAAACACTCGAGTGTTCTGTCAATCGTTTTCTACATAACATTATGAGCGAGAAATACAATGAGAAAACACAACCAAAAAATAAAAATCCATTTCTTGTACCAAAAAAAGAGCAAAAATACATAATATTTTGGTTTCATTTTTGGGAATTTATTTATGCGAATAATTTATTACAAATTCAATGAAATTCTCCGATGAGAGAGAGAGAGTGCACTTTTCGGGCGAATCTAACAGCCGTCTCAACCATATTAAGGACTCCGACTCTCTTTTGACTCTTTTTCTCACATAAAACATTATATTTTGGTTTCATTTTTGGGAATTTATTTATGCGAATAATTTATTACAAATTCAATGAAATTCTCCGATGAGAGAGAGAGAGAGAGAGAGAGAGAGAGAGAGAGAGAGCTACGGAAAACGGAAAACACTTTTGATTTAAAAGTTATTTATTGATTACCTTATGTTTTATGTGAGAAAATATTTTATGTCTAATAATTCATTTGAATATTAAAAAAATAAATACTGTACTCGCATGTAATGTCAAATAAATTATAAATAGAAATAAAAAAAATATATAATATATTCTGTGTGTTACTCAAGAATTTTCGCAATTACATCGATTTGACACAATATTTTTCAACATAAATATTAATAGAAATGTTTCCCCAAAAAGCTATTAAAATCTCATTTTCGCTATTAGTTCAACGAATTACAGAAATCAATGCGAAACAGATTTTTAAGATTTATTACATAAAATATTGCGACTATTGATTGATTAAATTTGTCATCAATTGTGAAAATATGATTATATTGTATGTCTTAATAGAAATACTCTGTTTTATATCAAATGCCTTTCAAATGTCTGTTATTTTATGATTGATTCAATTGAATGAGTTTTTATTTATTTTTATTCTTTGAAAAATGTTAACTCTTTCCAACAAAATGTTTGACAAAACTTTAAAAATATTTTTATTAGGTTTTTAAAACATAGTCTCGAAAAATATATTTTTATTAAATGCGGAATTCATTAGGGATTTAATTTCGTAGATAAATATTATTCACTGAATATTTGAATAATATTTTCATAAAAAAAACAAACACAAGAATTTTGTTATGAATTATATGTTATCGTAATAAAACTTTTTAGACAAAAATGTACTCTTTCATATTAATTAGCAAACAAAAAGAGACTAAAATAATATACTTCAACTTAAATTATAGTTAAAATTGGTTCCCTAGAGTAGACATTGTTTATAAGATATACCAGTGCAGTTAAAACATGGTATTTCTCATTGATTACGTGATATCTACCAATTAATCAATTAATTGTCAAAATAAAATAAAACTAATTTCAATAAAACACTATAAATACCGTAGTGTTTAAACTAATCCAATATTTCAATTGATGTTCATCCAATTTGAGTTTTGAAATAACAAGGATCTAAAAGTACTATACTTTGTTACCAAAATGTGTTTTAATAAAAATATATATTAGTTAGTATTTAGTGTTTAATATAGAAAACTTTGTGACAATAGTTTATATAATTTAATGATAATAGCTTTAAGCCAAATGACATCACCAGGATGTGAGGTGTTATATTAGTCGTGTTAATTAAAACCCTTAATTAAACAAAACACTTTTGATTATATAATGTGACAAATAATATAATTTTTAGATATTGGGCAATATATATAAAAGCAATATACAGTAAAGTGTGAAATATTGTGTATAAATGATAATTGTATATAAAACTAATGAGATCTGTATTTCTAACGTCTTTAAACTTTAATGTATGCTTTAAATCCGGATTTGAAAAACATGTTGACTTATTATTGAAATTTATACAATGTTATGGTGTTTATGTAAACAGTTCAATCAATTGTATTGAATACAATAAAAATCAAATAAATAATTGATTTTCCGAGAACTAAAGATATTTTTAAATTTCTTAAAATAAATTCAAATAATTGGCATTTTTATAATAAATTGTATAACATGTGAGACAAATAATAATTTCTCATGGATACAATTCTTTGATGATTAAACATGTATTAAAATACATTAAAAATACTGTATTTTATTATATACTGTATATAACTCTGAATCACTATAATTAGGTGTTAATTATGTGTAATTAAATACAAATTAACAAGTATAAATAATTTGACTATAATTGAAAATATTTTTTTTATACCAAATATGTACCAAAAAGTACATTAAAGGAAAAGATTTAGTGTCAATTTTTTTGTTGAGGTTTAGCCCATAAATGATATGTGTTTAAATTGTTGATGTATCAGGGACATATTTAAAACTGTTAAATTCTAACAGTAAGCCTTAATTGTAGGTACATTAGAAGGTGAACAATAATTGAATGCTAAAAATAGTTATGCAATTTGCAAATATTTATAATCGTTATTACAAATCGTATTATTTAATGAATTTAACATAAATTGATTAAAATTGTAAAATAATTGTGAAATGAAATCCAATTTTCTGGTCAAATATAGCAGAAATGAGGCCAACATTGAGCCGTGAATTGCATTACAAATAAAGCGCTTATTTCTGGTGGTGTTTGACAGTCGAGCCAACACTGCGTGCAATGATTCACTCAAACAGTGATGCAATGAATGCAATGAAATGTCTGTCAATTGACTTATCATCACAACATTCATACCATTCAGTGGTCATCACTACAGTCCACGCAGACATCGGTCACTAATTATAGCCAACACCTCATCCACACGTCAATCCAATTAGCTATCACTCAATTCACGACACAAACAGTAAGACATTGTTTTGTTTACCCATTGATTGTCATGAATGCTATGTTTGTATGCCATCCGAAGACTGACAGACAATGAGTGGTAAACCACTGGACAGAGGGATGAGTTGCGAGGAGGAGATAGAGGAGCGGTTGCGACGCCTCAAGTCGGACGAGACGAGCGAAGAGCGATCGGTTCGCTCGCAGAAGGCCATCGAAGAGCGGTTGGCGCGCCTGAAGGGAATGGATCCCAAACACTACTCCATGCCTCCCATCACTGTCTTTCAGCCCATACGCCATAAGACGGACACACAGAAGGCCGACGACCTGTTGAGTCAGTTCGCCGAAGAGCTCAAGATTGACGACTCGTATCGACACCCGTTGCCCATCGACACGAGACGCCTGTCCACCGATCAGGACATTGAGCGCCGTTTGGCGCGTCTTAAGGGCGATGAGGGCTCCGATGAGAGACCGAAAGGGACGTCCGTTATGGACATCGACACCGATTTGGACGACGAGGAGATCGAGAAGCGTCTGTTTGAGCGCTTGTTGGCCGAGAGTAAACTGCCGGCCATTCCCACCCTCCCGTTGGACCCGCAGGTGCTCGAGGTGTGCGAGGAGTCCGTAGGCATGGGCTCCGACTGTCTTCCCTGGTGTCAGATCTGCAACGAAGACGCGGTCATCAAATGCATCGACTGTTGTGGTGATCTCTACTGCAAGGAATGCTTTCTGTGAGTCCTTTCTCTCCATTACTTGCCATACATTTCGCTGTAATTATCACTCATTTCATTGTGTTTTGCAGTGATTTTCACGACGACTCCGACCTTAAGAAACACAGAACAGAGCCCTTCAGAGCACCGGTCAGTCAACACAGCTTTTGAGTGGGATTTGTGTCACTTATTCTTAACCTCTGTTTTGTATCATTATTTCCAACACTATTTGAATGCAATTTATCATAAATTATTACATTTTATAAATCATCGCTTAATTAAACACATATTTTAATTATATTTTACATTATTTACACATAAGTTGCGGTCAATAATCGCTGTAATGTTTGTGTCAAATGAGATGAATGTATGTCTCGATACAAATGAGACCACTGTATGGCTTAAGAGAGTTATAAATACAGACTATCTATAAATTACCACAAAATGACTATCAATTGATTAATGAAT